CTGCTGTTGCCACTGTGGTTTACCATTACGCAAAAACTGTAATCTGCTGCATCATCTAGTTGATTAAAGTAGATTAACGCAGTCATGAAAAGCAATGTGTTGGAAAATGTGGCATCGAAAAGCCAGCGGTAAGCAAAACGTGGTAAAAGACCAAAGAATGATAAATATATTCAAACCTCAAAGTAGCCCCCTTTATCTTTGATAGCAGCTTTTCAGACAGTCATCATAGGTTGAAGCAGCTTTATGACGTCGTCAGCTCAGCAACTTGTGGGTTTCTTTGTGGGAATGTTGTGTACTCTTTGACTGATCCTCCCTTTGTGGTTGATCTCATCTTTTCTGGGTTTAGACTGGATAATAGTCGAAGGTTTGGTGGAACACGTCTTTCCTTGGCTCTCTGGTTAAACAACCTCCATTACCAAGCGTCTCATTGTGTCATTAACCATTTAAAGCCTAAACCATGAAATAATTGTCATGATTTTTTTTAAAACTGGAATGTCATTAAACATTCTTACAGATGAAAAAGAAAAAAACATAAATTCGGAATAATTTCATTTAACTAAGTTATTTGTATCATTTGTGATACATAGATTTTTTTTATACTACATGTGGCTCATTGTATAACTCAATTTTTTTCAGAACAAAAATATCACACTGATGATTTAAACATCTAAAAAATTTATGAATGATATATGATACAGTGGCCCTGATCTTCAGAGGGTTTTATTTGTCTTGAAACAGGTGCAAACTTGTTTGTACGAGCAGAAAAGAGCTTCAAAGAAGGCCCAAAGTTATTTATGTTTGCAATTTGGCAGCGTGAGCAGAAATAATTGGCCTTCATCATATTGCATGTTACAGTCTGATGATAAATGCACACAAATTAATGGGTGTAGGATGTGCATGTGTATAAACACCTTCACAGGCAGGCATAGATTAATGAAGCAAAATTTAAGTCAATCTTTATAACTAAACTCAAAAAACTGACTGAACTTAAATTATTTTGTCATGCATATGAAAAGAATGAATAATACAAAACATTTCATATTAAACTTTAGATATTACTTTTTTTGAATGATATTCCTTCACCAAAATGATGCCCGAAGGGATATTTCACCTGATTTATACATGTCGGGGTAATCCTCATACTTTCTAAAAGCAACGCTGTGAAACTTTGAACCATTACGGAACTGGCAACCCATCACTTTCACTTTAGCTATTAGTTTTCTTTACAATCTGAAGTGCTCTCTAAACATTATTTAGTATTATAATTATATTTTCGAATATTTTTTGTTTTATTATTACCTCAGACAACATGGCTGTGAACCTCATCTTTCTTTTCTGTCACCTTCAGCTGCCTGTAAAACACAAAATCTCTCCATTCCCTCCCTAAAGATCTGTGTTTACCTTTGTTCTGGTTCCTGTGTTCCCTGGTTTGTTACTTCTGGATTTATGCTTCTGTTGGACCACTATTACCATTATATATGCAAGAAACAATTTCAGCTTCCGTCTCTGCATTTGGATGCCCTGCAACCCTCAACTTAACCTGAGAAAAACTGTCTGAAAAGCACCCTTCTTTACATTCTTGAGGACTAACTCATCCTCCACCCCCAAAAAACAGAATAAAAGCTTTTTAATCTAAGAAGCTTTGACTATTTCTGCCTTATAAAACACATTATAAGCCTTATAATTAGGGGTGCATCATTGCTAAGTGTATCTATGAATTTCCCTGGGATAAACCCTGAAATCATCGCAGCCCCATAAACAATAACACAGGATGACAAAGAATGACCAATTCATGTAACAGTCACACTTTTGAAATGTGGAAATAAGCGGGAGGTTCTTGATAGACCCAAGAAATGGACAGAGAAATCTGTTTTTTGTTTGCTTTGTTTTTCTTTGTCGTCTTTTTATAACTGGGCTTCTCCTGTTCAGGAAAATAAACTCTGCAGGCTTGAATCTATTCTTTGTTTGAGCAAATTATTTAAGTCTGTAATAAGCGTGGGATCACAGTGGAGGATGCCTCCGGCTTCCAGTTAGTTAATAACATATGAATCAATCGGACTGACCTACTTTACTCAAAGTATTAAGTCATTCCGCCTAACTTACAGTTGATTAAAACAAAATTTTTTTCTGCTTTAAATTTAAACAAATTCTATAGACTTATATCAACAGTCTTGTATCTTTCCTGTTTTATCCTGTTGTTCAAAATAATAACAGATAAGTCATGTCCTTTAAGATTAGCAGCAAATCAGAAACAGACCAAAACAGAAACTAGAAATCGTGACTTCCTGTCCCCCGGAGCCGCTGTTTATCGTCCTCCAAGGATCCCTTGGTTTTCCTACAGCTCTCGAAAAATACATTATTCCCAGTATTTATCACTCAGTGTCATATTCCTGAGTCAGCATGTAGATGTAAATATGCCTTAGCTAGCTAAACAAGGCAATGCTTGTTCTGTCAGGATACCAGTACACCAAACCAGATGTTATGAAACAAAGAATGATAGCTGCTCTAATTTCTGTGCCTCGGGTTCCGAGCAGAACTTTCCTACAGACTGGATTGAACAACAAAGAAAAACGATATCTGCTTTTCCTTTGGGTTCTATGTATTTGCTTGGTGATGAAATGACCTCTGCTGCTATTCCCTTTTATCCCAAGTGGGCCTTCACAGTGAAAAACAAGAAGTTCCCTTTTCGATTCTATGAAACGATTCGATTCTTTATCGATTCTTTTTTCGATTCCAATTTGGGGAAAAAAGGAGAACAAACAGTTTGATTATCAGCATCAACTGTGTTTACTTAACTATTGCACAATCTTACAAAATCAACAAGATCAAGATGTCCACAGGAAATGTGAAACTGGAGTAACATTGTGTTTAAATGAAAAATTAATACAAGAACAAACTTAATAACCAACAATGTCTAATAACAAATGATGGGATAATAACCTATTTTAAATAACAAAAAATACTAATTATAAAACAGTAGTAGGGAAAATTAACAGTTATTTTGCAGAAAGATGAGCATATCTGCTTTTTCTGGAAGGATACGGGATCTTTCAGGGCTTATGGTGTCTCCAGCCGTGGAGAACACCCTCTCAGATGGGGTGGAGGAAGCCTGCACACAGAGGTAGTTTTCAGCCAGTCCAGATAGCAAGGGCAGCGTATCTTGCTTGTTCCACCACCACAGTGTGGCGCTATCCCTGCAGGGGATGGAGGGCAAGCTTTTACAGAGCTGGATTTCCTGATCTACCCTCTGGGCTAAGGAAAGACGGGGCTTTGATTCACAAAGTGACCGCAGCTCGTTGTCTTCCTCCTCGAATAGTTCTTCCAACTTGCGTAACTTGCGTAACTTACGTAACTTACGTAACGTACGTAAAAAAACGTGACGTAAGTCGTGCTCCCCAGAGCCGGCGCTCTAGGCTCTGGTGCTGCGGGACTCGAAAAAAGAATCGTTCAGCGAGCTGCCAAACGATGCCATGGAATCGGAAAATACGGAACCGGTTCTGAACAGGAACCGGTTTTCGATTCCCCTCCCTATAACGCATATATGCCCGCCCCCTTCCGCAGACACTCTGGTGCACCTCCCCAAAATTGTAGGTGATCACAGACAAAGACAGGAGGCCTCTGATTGGTCAATTCTACATCCCCTCTACACTATGCGTATTTCCTGTTTGGTATCTCATGGCAGAAACACTGGCTGTAGTGCCGTCCACAACCCCTGGCACACCTCAGACACTATCCCAGACACCGTGCAGGACGCTAGTTTATAGCCCTGTGTGAAGGTCTGGTAGTTTGCACCTGAAGCCACGGCGAGTCTTTCGGGAACACTCATGGGTGAACTGTGTGTCATCCGACATTGGATGAGGGGTTGCAGATTGGAAAAAGCACTTCAAACGACACACTGACACCCACAATCCTAGCTAGTTCGTGATTGTCCATCTTGCGTTGTTGCGTGGAATAACATAGCGCGGACCACGCTTCAAAATTGGGCATAAATCAAAAATATCTGCGTCATACCTGCGATGAGCAAACTGTGACACACTGATGCGGGAGGATAACCAGCCCTTTATTCTACATGTACCAAGCATGGATTTGGAAGCCCTTTGCTGCCATCTAGTGGTAAAACGGCTATTTTAGAATTCCCCGCAGAAAACTGGCATAGCTCAGTGATGAATGTCTCTAGGGTTGCCCACTAGCAACTAACAGTGTTTTTTTTTTTTTTTTGAAAGCTAGACAAGAAATTTTAAGCTATGAGTGTTCAGTTACGTTAATGTAAGATAATTATTAACAATACAAAACCAATTAAGTTCTTAACAATGCAAATTTCAAATCTCAGTTAAAAAAAAATAAAAAATTAGAATAAATATTGTTTGCCCTTGAGTCAAATTCTAATTAAGTAATCAGCCAGTGACTGCAAAAATAAGCGGTGTAATCCTGGTAACATTAAAATTAAAATAATTTCATGTAAATAAAGTGAAACTGATTCAAGTTCAAGGCTTTTTATGTGATAACTTATTTCTCCATGTTAATCACTGGCACAAATATTTCAGTGATTGACCAATCTAGAGCAGAAAACCTTTATAGAAGCAAAAAAGATATAGACAAATAACACTTAGCCTGGAACGGCAAGTAAAGCTTTTAATACAGTGAGGGAAACCATGATATTGCATAGAAGATACCTGTAATATGATGAAATGTTTCTAAAATAGAAAGAAGGATGGAATAATAAATCACAACATGTAAGAACAGAGTGTATACAGTTTGGTGAAAACGATTCTCTATTGGCTGATTAAATTGTGTAGCTCGACAACAGGGACGGATGAACAATCAAAGTTAGAACAGGGATTTGGGGACATTTCTTTTACAAATTTATCCAAATTGGAAGCTGTAATAGTTGTTGTTTTTTTTTTTACTTCATAATAACTTATAAAATATGACACAATGCTGATTTATCTATTTTTATTTTCAAACTAAAGGTTTTCTTCCTGTCTTCCTCCTGTGTGCAGTTTGACATCAACCAGCTGACGACCTCAGTGAATGTAAGCCAAAGCCTTAGTCCCATCCACAAGCTGCTGGACTCCCCCAGCAGCACGGTCAGCGGTGGCAGCAGCAGCAGCACCGGCGGCAGCAGCAGCGTTGGCAGAGCCAACGGCGTGGGCGCCGTCCAGTCGCCGATGGACCGCACCAAAGGCTTCTTCGTCGACGAATCGGAACCCCTCCTTCGCTGTGACTCCACGTCCAGCAAAGACTCCGCCCTTAGCAGGAATGGCTCCTTCATTACCAAAGGTGAGGGGTGAACACAGCAGGAACAGGGTGTTCCACCGTCCTGGGAATTAATCCTACATAAAACACAACCTGAAAGCTTTTTAGTCGTCCTTTTACGACTCCTTTCATGCCTCCAACTATATGTATGGCTGCCAAGTGTTTGTTTACTTTACTTATTGAATTACTCAAACATGTCAGCTAGATCACATAACAGGTATTCATTTGGAGATGATTAATAACCCTGGTGGCTAAATAAATAGAAACGTTCAAACACTCCTTTATACATCCAAGATGGCTGTTATATAACATAACCTGATGTAGGTTGACTGATGGGGACTCTGACTGATTGTGACTCATGACTTTTAGTCATTATGTACTGGTTATATCCAGATAATAGAGCTTGTTTGTGGAGTCCCGTCTGTGAGTCAGTCCCACACAAAAACCGTGTCACCGAGTTGTAAATGTTGTAAATGCTGCATGCGTCAGTGAGAAGGTCGCACACGGCAATGAACATTAACCTCAATCTAGTTACATATTTCAAACTTTTAGCATGTATGACGTTCCAGCTGCTGAAATCACAGGTTTCATTTGATGAGGAGAGATGATTCACAAATTCTCAATTATGACGGATCCTCCGGGGTTCAGATGTTTGAGATCTTTTCTATATGATTCAGACTCTCACTATTGTCCACTCATGACTATTCTAGCCTTGAGTAAAAATCTGAGAAAACAGGAGTCTCATTTTAAAGGTGATGTTCTGGTGCCCTCATGTGGCCTGATCAGGCCATTACAATCTATATATTCATTGGCAGACATTTACTGATCCTCCATGGTCTCAGTTCAGTCATTAGGATTGTTTTCATAACTGATGAGATGTTGAAGATATTAAACCCTCCCAGTTAGCATATGGGTCAGATCATAAGGGCCATGCACCTGCTTTTTTAGGCTCAGTGTACTGGGAAAAACGCATCAGATGTATGACAATCATTGCAAATTCTAAAGGCAGAAGAAAAAACATAAAAAACCCATAAATAACAAAGAGAGAATATAAATAGTCAAGAGATCTAGTCTCCTCTAAAGACTTTAGAGGAAAAAAAAAAGAAGTGGACAATAATGACTGAAAGGCTAAATGAGAATTGATGCTAGATACACTCACCGGCCACTTTTTTAGGTACCCCATGCTAGTAACGGGTTGGACCCCCTTTTGCCTTCAGAACTGTCTCAATTCTTGGTGGCATAGATTCAACAAGGCACTGGAAGCATTCCTCAGGGAGTTTGGTCCATATTGAAATGATGGCATCACACAGTTGCCGCAGATTTGTCGGCTGCACATCCATGATGCGAATCTCCCGTTCCACCACATCCCAAAGATGCTCTATTGGATTGAGATCTGGTGACTGTGGAGGCCATTTGAGTACAGTGAACTCATTGTCATATTCAAGAAACCAGTCTGAGATGATTCCAGCTTTATGACATGGCGCATTATCCTGCTGAAAGTAGCCATCAGAAGTTGGGTACATTGTGGTCATAAAGGGATGGACATGGTCAGCAACAATACTCAGGTAGGCTGTGGCGTTGCAACGATGCTCAATTGGTACCAAGGGGCCCAAAGAGTGCCAAGAAAATATTCCCCACACCATGACACCACCACCACCAGCCTGAACCGTTGATACAAGGCAGGATGGATCCATGCTTTCATGTTGTAGACGCCAAATTCTGACCCTACCATCCGAATGTCGCAGCAGAAATCGAGACTCATCAGACCAGGCAACGTTTTTCCAATCTTCTATTGTCCAATTTCGATGAGCTTGTGCAAATTGTAGCCTCAGTTTCCTGTTCTTAGCTGAAAGGAGTGGCACCCGGTGTGGTCTTCTGCTGCTGTAGCCCATCTGCCTCAAAGTTCGACGTACTGTGCGTTCAGAGATGCTTTTCTGCCCACCTTGGTTGTAACGGGTGGTTATTTGAGTCACTGTTGCCCTTCTATCAGCTCGAACCAGTCTGGCCATTCTCCTCTGACCTCTGGCATCAACAAGGCATTTCCGCCCACAGAACTGCCGCTCACTGGATGTTTTTTCTTTTTCGGACCATTCTCTGTAAACCCTAGAGATGGTTGTGCGTGAAAATCCCAGTAGATCAGCAGTTTCTGAAATACTCAGACCAGCCCTTCTGGCACCAACAATCATGCCACGTTCAAAGTCACTCAAATCACCTTTCTTCCCCATACTGATGCTCGGTTTGAACTGCAGGAGATTGTCTTGACCATGTCTACATGCCTAAATGCACTGAGTTGCCGCCATATGATTGGCTGCTTAAAAATTAAATGTTAACGAGCAGTTGGACGGGTGTACCTAATAAAGTGGCCGGTGAGTGTACAACAAGATGCTTTGCCAGATGACCTTAATGACCTGTGTGGGATGTACTTGATTAACATCTCAGAAATATAAGAAGGAGCTAGGCTGATTAAGGTGTTATAAACACTTGAAAGGATTTTAAAATCAATTCTCTGTTTAATTCGTAATGAGTGAAGAGATCCAAAGTGATGTGATTGACCCTCCAGGTTCTACAGCCAAACAGCAGCGTTCTGGATCAGCTGCGGTTAATATGGATTGTTTTGAGGTTCAAGTAACAATAGCATTAAAGTAGCCCAGCTGACTAGAAATGAAAGCAGGAATTAATTTCTATACTTCAGTTTATGTCAAGAAGGATCTAATTTGGGGGATGACTCAGGTGAAAAGATGCAAACCAAGACAGATTATTGATATTCTATTGAAAGTTGAGATCTCAATCCAGTATCACAGCAAGGCTCCTGATAGGCTCAGGAGGTTTACCAAAGGAGTCGCTGTTCTGTGCAGGCTGACTTCCAAAAACTCTCCTATGTAACTTTAGAAGGTCAAATCAGTCGTCATGGGACCCTGAGGACCGCTTTATGGCAGTGTTTGCCCTCCTTAGACACCAGCTGTTGTTAGACAGCCTTACCTGATCGGACATTTTGATCTGAAGGTGTGAATCCAATCACCTCCATCACTTCTCAGTCTGATGGTCCAAAGTGGTCTAAAAGCAGATTCAAAATACAGAGAAAGGCTGTTTAATTTATGAAAGTGATGGGTTTCCAGTTGCTTTAACGGGCACTAAACCTGGAAGATATAGGTTTAGGGCCCCATTATGGTTCAAAGTTTCACAGTGTTGCCTTTAGAAAGTATGAGGATTACCCCGACATGTATAAATCAGGAGAAATATCCCGTAGGGCCTGATTTTGGTGAAGGAATATCATTAAATAAGGCTTCAAACTTGGAAGCAAAGTCCAGTGGATTGTTTTTAATTTTCTTTTTTTGGAATGACTGTGACCTGGAAGCCTGAGAATCTTCACCAGATTATCATTCAAACATTGTTAAAAGTTTAAATAAGTTTATTTTGCCATTCCAATGCCCTTAGTTACAACCACAGAGGTGCTTAGAATAAAATTATATTTGTCTTGCCATGTGCTTTTTGCCATCTAAAGCTAATCTCTTCTCTCTTAAAGCCAGACCATTAAAATAAACCAACAATAAATAATGTTAATAATGCCATTGATACTCATTGATACTGCCCTGTAATCAGTGATATTTTAGCAGCAGCGCTAACAGCTACAGCTGTTTTACAAAAGTTGTTTCTGTTTTATGATTCTCATGGTCTACATGTTATATAAAGTGAATTTAAGAGTGCATATATATATATAAAAATTCAGACTTTAAATGGGCAAAAACTGTCAATCTGGCTGTCTCCACTAGGGGGCAGCAAAAAACAAACTTAATCCTTTGGGACATTTCAGCTTCTTAATTTGCTGAGCTATTAATTAAATCTTTGATGTTCTCTTGGGTTATTCTTCATAAAACTAATTATTGGAACAGATTGGACCTAAAAGGAACGTGTAATATGAAGTGGTTAAAGTGAGGAAGAGTTATTGTTACAACAGGAGCAGACTTTATCGTTGTTCCTCCCTTTCTCTCTCTAGAAAAGAAAGACACGGTTCTCCGGCAGGTCCGCCTGGACCCATGTGACCTGCAGCCCATCTTCGACGACATGCTGCACATCCTGAACCCCGAGGAGCTGCACTTCCTGGAGGAGATCCCCACAGCCGAGGACAAGCTGGACCGACTTTTTGAGATCGCCGGAGTAAAGAGCCAGGAAGCCAGCCAGACGCTGCTGGACTCGGTCTACAGTCACTTACCCGACCTGTTATAGTGGAGGAGACAGGAGGAAAAGCACACAGGTGTTTGAAGCAAAAGGGATGTAGTGTAGCTGAGATTTAGCTTTGCTGTTATTTCAGACAGTATTGGACTCATCAGGGCCACCGATGTAACATGATTCCAGCAGCTTATTTAGCGTTTGTCTGCTCCCTCTGATGACTCTATAAGTCCTATCCTCATTCCTTCTCTGTGTAAATCCTCTCCGATGTGTCATACGGTCACCGCTGTCGGCTGTGTGACCTCAAACATGCGGCTCCAAGGTTTCAAAGTTGAATCATGTACAGACTTCACACTGCTAGCACTTTATTTATCTGAAACGGCCAATGCCTTCCTGCTTAAAGGACAATACCGGTGTTTTTTCTTGTTTGTGCCAATCATTTGTGCCTTTCTTAATTTTTCAGTTTAAAAATAATATTTATAATAATTAACATAGCAGGCAATGGTAAATGACAGTGGTATATAAGCTATAACTCTAAACAACACTGGTATTCTTCTTTGATTTTGGTTCTTGTAAATCACCGGGAATGGGCTGAGCTCTTAAGACATGTGCCTAAATGTGTTCCTCTCCACAGCACCGCTTTCTTTTTTCCTCCTCCAGCTGCCTGAACCTGAGGCAAACGGTAGCTTGTGACCCAAGCAGGTAGCGGAATTATTTCACCAGTCGACCCGCATTGATCGAAACGAGAAGAGAAGGAACACAGTGCCTTGCAAAACAATTTATACACCTTGAACGTTTCCACACTTTGCCATGTTACAACCACAAACTTTCCTTTACGTTATGGATTTAATGTTAAAGAATGAGTTGGTCATGCTACAACTTCAAAGCCCCCGACCAGTGAGTCGCTCTCATTCCGTTTTCTGTTTGCCAGCTGGATACGAGGTTTGCTACTGCTAACGCTAACCTTTGCTAACCTACCTGTTCAGAAGAAAAGAGCCCAACTTCAATTGGCTTCTGGGAATCTTGGCTTCCTTATGTCGGTACCAATAGTTAAGAATTTGACTGATGTTTATCCTCATTTTTCTTTTCTTTTTTTAATTTTTGGTTTGAATCTGGGAAATAAAATGCAGATGGAGCCATTTCTAATCGCAGACTAACGAGCATCTATCTATGCCTGAGATCTGTCTCACATGACTTCAGCCTAGAAAAATGAAGCAGCACACCTGTTTTTGCTGCTTCTGCTGCTTTAGGTGTGAACATAGCATTAGTCCTCGACGTGGCCGACCCGGGTTCCAGTCTGACCTGTGGTCCTTTGCTGCATGTCTCTCCCCGTCTCTTAAACTCCCTTTCCTGTCAGCCTACTATTAGAAAAAGGAACCACTAATGAAAACAGTTATTAGATGCATTAACCTCCAAAATGAGTCCAGATTAAAGATTTTCATTGAAAAAGCAGTCAGATTTGTTTCTACTGTATTCCATGCAATCCAATCATCCACCACGACCTGACGAGTGAAAAGAAAAAGGAAACTAAAAACCTGATTTTTTACGCACACACAAACCTCTACCATGACTGCTCAACTACAGGCCCTGCAGGCATGGATGGACTGGGAATCCAGGGCTGTTGGCCAGCCTCATTCATTACTTATATGGATTAATCATCTCATTATCTCAAGAAATCAATAATGAGATAACTATCATGTTGTCTTGAGAAAACAATTATTGGTTTGACCCAGATAACAAGATAGTTATGTCATTATCTCGAGAAGGCAAAAGAAAACAAACGTTGAGTATGACCCCTCTCGGCTTCCGTAGGTATTAAATATAAATAACATGCATGTTTCTGCTTTACAATTTGCAATTTATTGCAGTTTGTTTATTTAGATATGTGATTTTACTAAAAGCATCTCTTTTTAGATCAAGATGAAAAAGAACTGATTGATTATTTTATTAATTTGAAAAAGAAATGATAGATCGATTACTAAAAGAATCAAAATGCTCTGAAATTAACACTTTTGTTCTGCACCATTCCAGATGCTCTCTGGATGCATAATTTTTGTAAAATAATTTATTTACATAAAACAGTTCATTCAAAGACCTTTAAATGGTTTTTAATGATTTATAGAAGTAAAAAACTGATAAGTGTAGCGTGTATTTCAAACTCAGGTGCAACAACTCCTCTTATCAATGCATGCAAACTTTCCATGTTTGAAAACAAGCAATATTGTGATTAAGTTGGATGAGACCACAGTGGAACATTTGTGGCCTTTATGGATGCAGATATTTCCTAAAGTTGACCTGTAAGAAAGAAGAAAAAGGTTCTTTAGCAAAGGAACTGTGTTTGGTGCGTTTACTCTGCAAGTAAAAATGACTTAATTCCTTTTTTCCATTTACGAGTTAATTCAGACTTTTTCCGATCTTATCACATTCATCATTACTCCAGTAAACAGCGCTCTGCTGTGTGATGTCAAAGTTCTTCACATCCAGGATGTTTTCATACTCTGGGCCTCAAACCCCAGTGCAATGTTTAGATGTCTGCCTGTTTCAGCATCCTAAAAACAAAAAAATAGATTGTTAGGTTATTAAACTGTAATACATGCTGAAGTGATAATCCTCACATATAATCCACAGGTGTTTCTGCCAACAGGCAGGCGTTTTATAACCCTCAAATTTCAATGGTTTAGTCTAAGTCCAGACTTAAATCCTGTGAAAATCTTCCAGAAAGACTCCATCTAATCTGAGTAATCATGGGCAATTTTTTGAAATACAAGCAGAAATTAGTTTTTTTCTCTCCCAAAACTGATAAAAAGTGAATTCTGCAGACAACTGAAAACAAATGCACGCCACACTTTTCAGATTTTTAACTGACGTTTTACAGTACTTTCGCTTCATGTTTATTATGACTTCCTTCATCCATCACAGAAACTCCCAATAAATGCATCAATTCTTGTGGTTATAAGGTGACAAAATGTTACAAAGCTCAGGGGATATCAATACTTTAGCAAGACACTGTTTGTCAGTTTTTTTCCTCGTTTGTTTTGGGCTTTAATGGAACATGAAAGCTCCGACTGTCCCAGCATCCTTCAGTGACCAACCCCATGTGGGCTTGTATCAGCGTAGCGTTGATAAATTGTGCGTGGTACATTTTGGAGCTTCCTGGTGCTATCAACCACACATGGAGGTTATTGTGCTGGTGCAGCAAAAATAACTGACATCAAGTGAAATCTTGGGTTATTTTTATTTTTTTTACACATTTTTCTTGTCGATATTCTAAGGTGATATTGATGCACTAATGATGATTTCTATACATGCTTTGTTTTTCTCTAGCTCTGAAATGTAGTTTCCCAGCATTTTAGCTGTTATTGTATTATTTTCATACTGATGTTCTCTATTACTATCTATTGTAGCATTGGGATTTCTCTGTCCAGGACCACTTTGCTGGGATGTAACATATGCATACTCAGAACTCTAATTGAAGTCTGTTACTTGATCTCACTGATGAAGAGAGTGCAGTCTATCAATTCCCTTTCGCACTAAACAGTTTTTGAATGCATATTGAACTTAAAAGCAACCTCTTTAACGCTCTGAAAGGATTCTTCCCTTGAGAGCATCTGGTTTCTATCCCAACAACTGGTGTGGAGCCTCACCTGTTGGCACGGTGCAAAAAACGGACGTTGGAGAGGAACAACATCTGCTTCACGTGTTCCAGCTGGAATTGATATGATTAAAGACGGTGCTGCTGTGGACTACAGGCTTTAGAACGAGGATGACGATGGGGAAGCGTTAGCTAGCTCTCCACTGCACTGTGGGGATTACAGCTCTGTGGACTCTTGGGTTTTTATGAAGCAAAGACATTGATGTAGAATGGACATGTCTGAGTCAATGATTTAATCACATTCACAATTCAAATGTAACCAGTATGTTTACTCTTCCAATGAACTAATTAAAAGCAGTTTTATATATTGTTGTGCAGTTTCTCATTTTCAACGACAAACTTTTGAAAAGTTGGATTTGAGTTTCTAGTGTGTTCATGGGAAAAACCAAACTAGCCTCCCATTTAATTATTTTTTTTATAGGGCAAGTTTCCGTGGTCTAGAAGCACAAGATCTATATCCAGCCATTCAGCAAAGACACTGCTACATGGCTCTACATCTAATTTTGGCATTTGACCAATTAGATGAGCCCTTGAATGATATATTACCCACTGCAAATTAAAGAAAAAGTTAAGTCAACAAAAAAAGGTAAACCGCTAATTGAAAAGTTCAAAAGTAAAGTTAAAAAATTGGTAATCTTAGTTAAAAATTATATTTAGGTTTATAAACTAAAAATGTCAGTGTCAGTATCCGCATTAATGCCTTAAGGGCTATGTTGTACCAAAGAAAATGTGTTTCTTTAATAGTGATTTTTCATGAATTTCTTACGGAAACATCTTTTGTTATTTTTCTTAATATATTCAGGCAAGTTGGCATTTGTTGTTATTACATTGACATTAATTTTTGCCATCAAAATATCCATATTTTTTTTATGTTACACAAGTAAAAAGGTCTTGTCCTGGATTACAATAACACTATTGGCTTAAAATTTTTATTTTCAAAGTATTTAACTGTTCCCTATAAAGTGTTAAATCAATTCAGTTTATTTATATAGTGTCAATTCACAACACGTCATCTTGAAACACTTTAAAGACATTTAAATGAAATCATCCAGACTGGTTAAAAGTTTCTAAGGAAAACTGCCTGATTGTATTAAGTCATCAGAATTCAGGGGTGGCCCATGTTTATCCTTACAACAGTGCAAGTACTGCTCATATATTTTCCACATACTGCAAGCATAATATGGGAAGTTTTGTAAAAAAGGACACTGCATACCATGATAAATGTATAGGCCTAAAAGCGCAAATTGTGTGGTACTCTCATGGTTTTGTTCAAGTATTACCTCTGAGTTGTCATTGGTCGTATTTCGATTCCTGTGTTCTAGGTATTTTTGATTGTATTTGAGTTCTTAGATATATTCTGTTTGCCCTCTGTCAGTCTCCTTTCCTCTAGCTCCCTTCTTGCCTCTGTTCACACCTGCTCCCAATCTGCTAATTAGCCTGATCTTTGTTTCTCTCCCCTTAGTGTCATGAGTATTCCTGGTTTTTCAGCATTTTTGCTTCTGTTGAACTTTTGTTATTAAACCTTCAAGTAAACTCCTTCAGCTCAGTCTGCATTTGGGTGCTGTCAAACCTCCAGCACCACTGTGACAGGTACCTCTAAAATAGTAACTACATTATCATGTGCAGAGTTGGTATAATCCTAATTTTTTTTTCAGTTCTCTGAAAAACAAAATGCAAATACAACAAATAAAAATACACACAAATAAAATATCAAATTTTAAAGCCATCATGTATAAAATATCTAATACTGTATTGTATGAGCCTTGGCTTCAGCAAAGGTACTGTATGACTATGTCCTTCA